GGCACTGGGTGATCTCTAGAGGTCCCTTCCACCTCTTGATGATTCTGTGGTCTGTGATTAGCTCCCGGGGTGCCCAGGGGGTGCTGGTGAGGGATTCAAGCAGCTCTGCTGCCTCTCCAGAGCCTTGTAAATCTCTTGCTGCAGTGCTCTCTGGGGAGGGTGTCCTCAGCCTGCCTCCAGGCGGGATGGAGGAGGGAGAGTTGTCCAAGGCTGCTTGCGTGACTTTCAGCTTGTAATTGTTTTAACGAGTCAGGGTTCTGAGTTGGGCGGCTCAAGACCCATTAAATCCAAGGTTTGTGCAGTGGGGTTTTTAGATAGATTCTCCACAAGAAAACAAAAACAAAGAAGAGGCTCGAAGAATGGATGTTGCCTCATGTTGCTTCTGCCTGCCTTCTGCTCTCCCGAGATGCTTGTTTTGGCCTCCTAAATCATTGCTTTAATTAGTGTCTTGCATTACACCAGTGGGTACGTTCCAGTACCAGAATGGGCTACAGGGAAGCTGTAGCTGAGAAGTTCTTTACAATGAGGGTGATGAGTCCCTGGCCCAGGTTTCCCAGAGAGGTGCTGGAGGCCCCATACCCGGAGACATCGCAGGTCAGGCTGGTCGGGGCTCTGAGCACCCTGGTCCCGTTGAAGCTGTCCCTGCTCACTGCGGGGGGTTGGACTGGATGGCCTTAAAGGTCCCTTCCAGCCCAACCCGTTCTGTGATTATAATGAAGTCTAGAAGTTTGGGCTCTCTGTTTTGGCAGGTTCAGGAGTGTGCCAGACTGTATCAGCGTGACTAATTGATGTGTTAATCGCTGTGCCTGGAGCAAAGGTTCCAGAGGAGGTGCCCCTCTGTATGATGGTAACTGGGCACTTGGTGTTGAGACTCCCGGTGATGGACCCTTCGGTCTGTTGGCGCGTCCGTCTGCTGTTAGAGATGCACGTTGACTTTCTGAAGAGCTTATAGAGCGAGGAGCAAGCTCAGGGTGGCCCAATCCCCCTTTACCACCGTCCTTCCCAGCACAGCGCGGCACTCGGCGCTCCTTCATCGTCTGCCTTATCAGGTGCTGGGTGGGAGATGCGACGAGTCGGACAGTGCAATTAATATAGCTGCATTAATTGCAGTCATCGTCTCTGCTAATCGAAGGAGACTGTAGCTGATCTGCTCTGTGCTTTCTCCCACAGCGTTGCTTCACCCTAACGCTTTCGGTTGCAGAAGGGTGGAGGGCTGAGCTGCCCTGCTACACCCAGCCTCAGGGCTGCTCTTAAAACTGCAATATCCCTCGTTAGCTTTCTCCCTGTAATTGCTTCAGCAGGTGGGTAAGAAGGGATCCCCAAACAACCCCCCCAGGGTCACTGCAGCCTGTGGTGTCGAACCTCTCTCTTGCGCCTCAAGCACCTCATGAGCTCAGGCTGTGGGAGGGCATCTCTGCTCTCGCTGCGAGGAGCAGCTCCTGCTCGTAGCCCCAGCAGCTCAGCTACTACACTTAGTAAACCCAGTCTTGTAATGCAGAACGTTTGTGGATTTGGTTTTGTTGCTTTTTTTTTTTTAATTTTTTTCTCCGTCCTGCCCGTGGGGAGGACTGAACATGGTGCAGCTCAGAGCTGCCGGGTCGGGTGCTGCCGCCCTCACCTGCCCCGTTTCTCACGCCCGCTTGTCCTCTGCTTTCTTCCAGACCATTTCAATTGTCTACATAGTGACAGCCTTTGTGGGAGTTGAGGCCTGGTATGCACCTTTCCTGTTTAATTTCTTATATAGAGACCTATTCACTACAATGATTATTGGTAAGAAACTCCATGTTGAAGCCTGTCTTTTAAACTCCATCTTTTTTTTTTTTTTTAAACGAAACCAAATGTCTTAATTATATGATAACGCTGCTCTGTTTGCTGTAATGAAAACTCCCGTAGGCTGTTACTGAAGTGACTAATTGAGGGCGTTCTTGCCCTTCCCCAGGATTTCAAAGTGTTGCCTTCTTCTCTGTAGTTTGGAGAAGTTAACTCCAGCACGCCTGGGTCTGTGCCGACCGAAAAAATAAAAATAAAAACTAAGGGAAGCGCTGTGCTCATACCTCGGGTACATTTTGTGCCAATCCTGAGTGTTAAAAAAAATTAAATGGAAGCCTGACCTTTCTTGGTCAGAACAAGCCACTGCCCTGTGACAGGGGGAGCTGTCTGTGCTTGATGCCATTTGGGTTGTTCAAAAGTTCTTGCTCTGTTTAATTTTTCTTAGTCTGTGTCCCTTTCTTCAGGTGTTAATTGTAGCTGCTTGATTTCGAGTCAGTATGTCTTGAATTGTGCTAAATCTAACGCTTGTGCTTTTGAGCTTCCCTTTGGCAATCGTATAACTTTACCTACAAATGATAAATGCAGTTTTCCTCTGTGAAAAATACAGCGCAGTGGATCCCGCGCTTGGGTTGGAGTTGGGTTATTAAATCAGGAATATTTACAGCTCTGTTAAAACACCTACTGCTAAAGTTGTGATGGGCTCTCATGGGTTTGAGTGTAGCGGGTGATTTTCCCTGTCGACGTCTAGAATCTCAGAGTTATTTAGACTCTTTGTCTCCTTTGTCGAGTTAAATGGCAAGAGCTTTTTTTTTTGCACAGCGAGAGCTGAAAATGCTTGCTCACCGTGGGAGAAATAGCAAATTGGCTTTTTTATGAAGGCTGAAAACTCTCGTTGTGCACAGCTGTGCCGCTTGGGGAGTTTGAACTCGCCTCACGTCTCATTAAGGACGGTGTCATAATTAAATTTTCTGACTGTTTAGAGCAAAATACTGGGCTCGTTAATGCAGCTTTTTTGCACAATGAGGTGTCTTTTAATTTATAGCAGGCCTTAAATTGTAATTACAGCTCTCAGACCAGAATTAGGAGCCCCTACTTTTAAACCTGCCGAGCTATTCTTGGTGCGCCTCAGAGCTGGTTTTGTTACGAGCAGCTTAACCCGGAGCCTTGCCCGTTCGTGGGGTGCACGCGATGGTCTCCCCCTCTCTCATGGGGCAATAACGTGGTTTTTTTTTCTCTTCCAGCTTGCGCGCTCACTGTGACGCTGCCGATGAGCCTCTACAACTTCTACAAGTAAGTCCCTTCCATCCTCGGCTCTCCTTGCCTTGCGAGAGCCCCCAGTGCCCCTTCAGGACTTGGGTTTCCTCAGTAGCTTTCAAATTCTTGGCTTCAGCGTGGCAAAGCGGCTCTGACACTCCAGAAGGTCCCAGTTTGCAGGATGCACTGGGAGGAGTGGGCTGGTAGCCGGCTCGGCTGGTTTTTTTCAGGCTTTTGTAGGCTTGTGGTGTTGGGCACAACCCAGAGAGCCAGGCAACCAGGTGCTTTTATTTTGATTTTGAGGTTAATGATGGTGTGCATCTGCCTCATCTGACCATGGTTATGACCAATATGAGCCACAGGGTGCCCAGGTGGCCAAGAAAGTCAGCGGCGTCCTGGCCTGGATCAGGAATGGTGCTGTCAGCAGGAGCAGGGAGGGGATCACGCCCCTGTGCTCAGCTTTAGAGGCCACACGTCTAGTACGGCGTCCAGTTCTGGGCCCCTCACTCCAAGAGGGGATACCCTCTGCCCTGGAGAGGCAGCTGCCAGGCTGGGAAAGGATTTGGAACACGTGTCCTGGAACAGCTGAGGGGTCTGGGGCTGTTTAGCCTGGAAAAGAGGAGATTGAGGGGAGACCTCATCGCTCTCTACAAGTACTTGAAAGGAGGTTGTAGAGAGATGGGGGTTCGTCTGTTCTCCCTAGTGACCAGTGACAGGACAAGGGGAAATGCATTTAAATTGCACCAGGGAAGGTTCAGGTTGGTATTAGGAAGAATTTCTTTACTGAGAGGGTTGTCAGGCATTGGCACAGGCTGGGGAGGGGGGGGGGGGAGGTGCAGGGGTTTAAGAGACAGGTGGGTGCTGTGCTGAAGGACATGGGTTAGTGGTGTTGAAAGGGCTGGGAAGAGGTTGGGCTTGATGATCTTGAAGATCTCTTCAAGCTGAAACCGTTCTATGATTCTAATATCAGCAGTTTGGGGTAGCGGAATGGCCGATGAGATTTTTGCAGCCCTCTCCTAAGGGCAGGGACTTTGTTGGGTGTGGTTCCAGGTATTTTCATGTATTTACTTGCCTTTCAGGGCCTATAAAAACAACACCCTGAAGCATCACTCCGTGTATGAAATCATGCTGCCGCTGGTGTCCCCGGTGCTGCTCTTCCTGCTCTGCACCACGTGGATCTTCATGTCCCCGACAGACATCCTGGAGGTCCATCCCAGGCTCTTCTATTTCATGGTCGGAACAGCCTTCGCTAACATTTCCGTAAGCAGCTTTTGCTTAACCCTCAGGTTATCCCCTGAGAAGCGTGAAGCCTGCCGGGGTGCTTGGGAGGCAGGAAGAAAAAGACCAGCTCGAATGTGAGAAGGAAAAAGTGAAGATTAACTTAACCTGTGGTTGAAAGAACAATCAGGAAAGTGGGTTGGCTTGGGGGATCTGCAAATTTTGTGCTGCAGCTTGTACTCTCGAGAAACTAGAGAGTGAGTTGAGTGTGTTGACGTGCACATGCACCCTCTGTGTTGTGAATGGTGAACTGCTGATGCAGAATGAGTTCTGCTTGCTTTTTTGGGATGAACTTAAAATGTGAGGGACACATTTTGCATCTGTGCTTGCTTGAGGCCGGAACGAAGGTACCGCTGCGTGAGCAGCTCTCTGTGTCCTTGCCCTGGGTACCACAGCTCCCGCTGCTTTTGGGCAGGGTTTTCTGCTCATCGTGCAGATAATGCTGGTAAAGCTCACTCAGCTCAGGGGAACTCCTTTTTATTTCTAAGATGCCCTTGCTGCCTGCTTCCCTTTACCTTCCTGCCCTGCAAGGCTGCGCTCAGCGTGTTGCCTGGGAATTCTAATGCAAAGAATGATCCCGAGGGAGAAACTCATGGAAACTGCAGGACAACAATGCCCGGCAGCAGTACAGGCTTGGGGAGGAGCAGCTGGAAAGCTGCCTGGCAGAAAAGGATCTGGGCTGATGAAGATGAGCCAGCAGGGTGCCCAGGTGGCCAAGAAGGCCAACGGCGTCCTGGCCTGGGTCAGCACTGGTGTGGCAGGGATGGTCCCCCTGGAGCCCCGGGTTCAGGTTTGGGCCCCTCCCGACAAGAAGGAGCTGGAGGGGCTGGAGCGTGTCCCGAGAAGGGCAGCGGAGCTGGGGCAGGGTCTGGAGCCCAAGTGTGCTGAGGAGCGGCTGAGGGCCCTGGGGCTGTTCAGCTGGAGCAGAGGAGGCTGAGGGGAGACCTCATTGCTCTCTGCAGCTTCCTGAGGGAGGATGTAGTGAGGTGGGTGTTGGTCTCTTCTCCCAAGTTACTTATGATAGGACAAGAAGAAATGGGCTCAAATTGCATCAGGGTAGATAGATTGGGTATTAGGAAAAAAATCATTCCTGAAAGAGTGGTGAAATACTGGCCCAGGCTCCCCAGGGCAGTGGTGGAGTCTCCATCCCTGGAGGTGTTCAGAAAACGTGTAGATGTGGCACTTGAGGACATGGTTTAGTGGTCGAGGTGGTGTTGGGTAGATGTTTAGACTTGATGATCTTGGAGGTCTTTTCCAACCTTTATGATTCTGTGGCAGTTGTAAGCGCAGAGGATGGGGTACGTGTACACGCGTGACCGTTCTCTACACTGCAGACAGCTCCGGGCTTGCAGAGTGGGTACCAGCCCCAAGCTCTGACGGGTCTCTCTGTCCCCGCAGTGCCAACTGATCGTCTGTCAGATGAGCAGCACGCGGTGCCAGCCTCAACTGGATGCTGCTCCCCATCACGGCCGCGCTCTTCGTGGTGATGTCTGGCTTCGCACCCAACAGCGAAACACTTCTCCTCTACTTGTTAACTGCTTTCCTCACCCTGGCTCACATCCACTACGGAGTGGTCGTGGTAGGTGAACCCAGCACAGGGGCTCTGGGCTTGGCTGCCGTGCTCTGACTGTGGGCTTTACGGTTCTTTGAAAACGGGAATGCCAGTGGGGATGACTGGGAGCACCAAGCTCTCTCTTCCTGCTGTCTGTGACCACGCAAAACTTGAGATGGCTTTTTGACGCATGCGTGGGCTGTCACAAGGATTTGAATGATACAACAAGAAGAAATGGCTTCAAGTTGCACCAGGAGAGGTTTAGATTGGATATTAGGAAAAGTTTTGTTACTGAAAGAATGGTGAAGCACTGGCCCAGGCTGCCCAGGGCAATGCTGGAGTCCCCATCCCTGGAGGTGTTCAAAAACCATGTAGATGTGGCCCTGGAGGATGTAGTTTAATGGTCACGGTGGTGTTGGGTGGACAGTTGATGGTCTTAGAGGTCTTTTCCAACCTCAACAATTCTATGAAGCAAGCTTCACACAGCGTGCTGGAGTGGCTGTTGTACCCGAGGTGAGTCTGAGAGACATACTTGCCTTTCTGCTGCCCTGTTTAACTCATCCTGGCTGCGGTTGCATCTCTCTGACCAGCCTGGACGTCAGCCAGCGAGGCTGAACCTCACCCCTGGGCACTGGGCAGGATACCTGGAGCAGCAGATGCTGTGTCTGCACATCAGGCAGGAGTGCTTGGCTTCGGAGTCTTTGTATGAAAAGTTAGATTGCAGGAAGCGTTACTTTGGTTGATGAGATGGATCTGTGGCCTCGCTGGAGTCACTGGGAGAGTGGGGACATCTCTGCCAGGGAAGGTGGGGACACTGCAGCTGCAGGGGCTCTGTGGGGATCCAGCAACTGATTTGCTCCCCTTGCTTTGTGCCAGCTCTGCCTGACTCCCTGAGCTTTGATGAAGAGGCAAAACAAGCTCAGAGGAGACAGTCCAGTTAGAAATACCCCAAGAAGCTGCTGAGGAACGAGGACAAGGGACCCAACGTCCCTTGGCTGCTGCCACTTCCATCCACCTGCCCTGGGCAGCGCCGTTCCCCGGGAATCCCGGCTCTAATGTGGAGCCTCCGGAGTTGAGCCTGAACTGTAATTACAGCCAAGGAGCAGTAGCCAGGTTGTCTTGTCTTTCCAATTAGAGTAATGAGGCTTCTAGGCAAGAAGGATTTGAATAGCTTAAGAAGCTTAAATCAGTTTGGTCTGGGAATCATAGCTGGAGCTGGGGTCTGGCCGGGTGGTGTAATCCTGCCTGCCCAGCCTGGCCCATCCCCTGCAGCCAGCTTCTCTGCTTCCCCGACTTTCTGTTTTCCCCCCTCCTCCAGCTTTGCGAGGGCCCATCTGTGCAGTCTCCTCTCCCGGGATAAAAGAAACTTAGAGCCGAAGAGCCTCTTAAGACTCTTTGACTTAGATGTAATCCCAAACCGCTCTGAATTTGGGAGCGATGAATCGTCCCCCCTGACTCGGGGCCCAGCTCAGCCTTTGGTGCTTCTCTGCTGTTACCTCGCAGTCACTAGATGCTGGTGCCACACGTTACCCTCCTGTCTGCAGCTCTCTGAATTGTGCCTGAAAGCTCGTTACCCAGTGCACTTCTCGGTCCTTTGTGGTTTTCTCATGTCCTCAAAAGAGGTGGTAAAAGCTTCTTCCAAAGGGGCTTGATGATCTAAAACCTCGTGTTGGGTTCCCCTCCTCTCTGTAACCCACCTCTGTGTGTCTTCATGGTTGATGCCAAGTGCCCTCCCCGCAGACAGAATTGCAAAGGGATTTGGGGAACGATCAGGTGTGGATTTGGGGAGCAAAGAAGGTCAATTGCATCCTGGCCTGGATCAAAATTAGTGTGGCCAGCCGAACCAGGAACATGATTGTGCCCCTGTACTTGGCACTGGTGAGCCCACAGCTTGAGCACTGGGTTCAGGTTTGGGGGCTACAGTGTAAGAAGGAGCTGGAGGGGCTGGAGCGTGTCCCGAGAAGGGCAGCGGAGCTGGGGCAGGGTCTGGAGCCCAAGTGTGCTGAGGAGCGGCTGAGGGCCCTGGGGCTGTTCAGCTGGAGCAGAGGAGGCTGGGGGGAGCCCTTCTCCCTCTCGGACGGCACCCGGGCGCAGGTGCTGAGTCCTATAGAGATTGTAGTGGTCTGTTCTCCCAAGTAACTAGCAATAGGATGAGAGGAAATTAGTTGAAGTCAGACAGGATGGAGTGTGTGTTAAACTGGATATTAGGAAAAAAAAAAAGTATTGGACCAGGCTGCCCAGGGAAATGGGGGAGGCATCTTCCCTGGAGATGTTCAAAAAATGTATAGTTACTTGGGAACGTGGTTTAGTGATCACGCTGCTGTTGGGCTGATGGTTGGACTAGATGGTCTCAGAGTTCTTTTCCAACCTTCATGTTTGATTCTGTTCTCTGATTGATTCTGTTCTCTGATTGATTCTGTTCTCTGATTGATTCTGTTCTCTGGTTGATTCTGTTCTCTGGTTGATTCTGTTCTCTGATTGATTCTGTTCTCTGATTCTATCTTGTGGGGCCACATCGGGCTGGCAGGGACAGGGCTCGGCTCCTGGGCAGGTCCCATAGCATGAAACAGAGACTGTGAATCGTGGTCTGTGCCCACGAGGGCAGCACAGGGTGGGCAATGGAGGGCGAACGGGCTGCAGAAAGGTGGCGGAGGCTTTGTCGGCTGTGCAGGGCATCAGTCTCTCCTCCTCCTCCCTCCGAGCCTCGCTAACCCGATCCCGTTGTCTGCCTCGTCCCCAGGTGAGCCAGCTGAGCAGGCACTTCAACATCCGGCCCTTCTCGCTAAAGAAGCCCACGCCGGATTGACTAGGAGCGGAGGAAGAGAAAATCGGCTTGCGGTCCGCAGAAGTACTGTAAATAACTGCTGCAAATACCTGTAAATACTTCAGCCATCACCACGGATCTAAACCTATCCTCTGGACAGACATCAGGGCAAAGCGTAACGCACGGTATCCGGTGCGGGACTGGTACGGGGCAACCCCCGCGGCTGTGTGACGAATGCAAGCTTTCGGGTTTTTTTGGGTGAAACTGGACGAGGAGGGGTAGCCTTTCGGGTCACTATTACTGTATATTAGACCAGCTGAATGTTCCCAGTGAAACCTCAGACTCCAGCTCTTGCTCAGGTAAAGCTGGTTGGGGGGGATGCAAATGGCTTTACCTGACCAAAGCGTCTTGATCTGTCACCAAAACCAACACAACAGCCGATTTCTGCAAGGTCAGGGGGGTTTCTGTCTGTCCCTGATCCTGCCGGGCCCCCTTTGCCCGGGGCTGGTACTTGGGGAGCAGGTGGTGACAGTTCTCCCACGTTCTCTCCTGCCTTCCTGCATTCACCTATTTGGGCAAATACTTGCACGTTTCTATTCGAGAGGGAAAAAGAACAATATCCAAAACTTCTAGTAAACGTTCTGCTTGGGGAAGGCTTAAAAAATCAGGGCTCAGTTTTCTGTGAGAGCGGGAAGGCGGCTTCTGCCTCCCCTGCTCGAGCTCGTGGGTACCTGGGACCACATCTTGGCCGCGTTCCTGATCCCCAGCTCGGCGAAAGCAAAGTCGTGTTGGTTGCGTGTGCGCTTTCGGAGAGCTCACAGGCGTGTGTGTGGTGGGGGCCTTTCCAAATCTTGCTTTGTTTTCCAAAAAAAAAACGACGCTCATTGTTCCCCAGTGGCTGCACGTCTCATCCAGGGATAAATTTGTTTACTGTCCATTTGTAAAAGACATGTTTGCATTGATTTCTTTTTAATTTTATTTTTTAAATTGTTTTTGTTAATTGAGTTAGGAGTGGGGTGGTGAAGACCGAATGCTGATTTTTTTAATTTTCCGTTCACTTTCTTTAATGAAGTTCTGTGCTTGAATGAAGAGTGTAGCTTAAACCCAGGCTCTGGAAAGGCTACATCCGGAAGCGAACAGGCACAGCAGGTTGTGCATATGTAATCTACCATGGGAACAGTCGCTTAAACACTGATTTATTGTGCAAACGTGGTTCGTAGAAGCTTGGTCACAGCGTTTTTCCTTCGGCAGGCTAAGACTCCTCCTGCTTTAGGAAACCTTCAAACTCTTTAACTACTATTTAATGCTTTTTTTTTTTTAATTTTGTAAATTTGAATCACCGTCACGCAGACTTACGAGACTTGAAATCCCCACCCTGGGGGCTCGGCGCCGGGGGGTCGCTCGGTCACGGTACGCCCTTGCGAGGAGCGAGCGGGCGCGATCGATGTCCCAACGTCAGCTGGGAGAAGGGGGCATAATGGTTTTTCCAGAGTTTATTTAATAAAATACCTTACTCCTCTCTGTTTTCCTGGTGTCATGCAGAAAGAAACCCAGAGTGTACGAACGAATCCGGCTACGCTCGAGTTTTTGACTCTTTTGCTCTTTAGCGAAATATAATAACTACGAAGGGAGATAAATTTCAGTCGGGGAATCTGAAAATGGGAAGCGACGCATCCATACGGGACGTGCTGGGATAGCAAAATTGTGCCAGCAGCACTGGCGAAAAGCAGAGCTGGGATGATCCTCTTTGGAATTGATGGGATTGCAGGACCAGGGAATGATTGAGCTGTTCCTCGGGCTTCCAGCTCAGCTCTGGGAGCCCAAGCCTTGTCCTGTCTCTTCCCACGAGCGTTGCTGGGCCACTGCGTCATGAGGAGTTGTCTTAAATCTTGGATGTTGTTTTGTCTTGGTGATACATGGTCCGTTTCTCCTCCCGCGGAGAGCTGGTGTGCTTTTGCAGCACTTACCGTTCCCTGAAAAACCCTCTTTGTGAGGTTACAAGGATGTGGAAGCAGGGCTTCCTCTCTGAAATCCTGCAAATACTTGTCGTGCCGTAGGCGAAAGATCTTTCTTTATAAAACTGGAACCTCTTCCTATCTGCACAGGCTTGGTCTTCGGAGGGTCCTGGAGTTTTGGTGCCTTAATTTACCGCACCTTGAAGTTGGAAAAATAACCTCCTTACATCAGTGCTGGGTGGAGGGGGTTTTGTTTGGGCGATTAGAAACGAAGCGATTCCTGCTCCTGCGCTGCGGGAGGGGAATGGAAACGAGCAGAAAGAGCAGACGGTCTCGCCGTGGTGAGGTGGGACGCGCCGCACGACAAACTTCGTTAATAATAATGGCTTTAAGTCTCGAGAATAAATGTTTTCCTTGCTAAGAGCATCCGAGAGGAGTTGTGTTATGGTTGTGGCTCTGTCCCTGGGGTGGGATGTCCTCCTTGGGACCGCGCAGGGATGGGCACAAGCTGGAAGAAGCCACGTGCTTGCTGCTCAGCTCCTCCTGCCTGGTGTTTGTGCTGTTCTGTTTGTCTCTTCTTCCAGGGGTACGTGTTAAATCGTTTTTCCTTAATTACCGATGGACCCACCGAGTTGGTAACAGGACTCTTAACAGGCTTCTGCAGTTCTGTGACTGTCTTACGCTTTCCTAAACGTTTTGCACATTTTATCTCCATACAGAGTATTACCAGGAAAAAGAAAATAAATAAAAAACTGTTGAGGGAGGGGCGCAGTCCTTCCGGACCTGCCGGGATGTCCTTCTGCTGCCCTCAGGAGAGGCAGTTGTGCTTTTGCAGCCTTCTTCATCTCGGTCTCGTGGCTCTTACCCCAGCTCCTGCCCTTCCACCAATCCAGGGTGCAGGAATTCATGAGCGGAGCTGAAGCGTGGGTTTTGGGACCTCCTGGGGTTTGGGTAGAACTGACCATTGGACTGAAAGCAGCGTTTTCACAAGTAGCAGTGCCGTGGCACTTGTCCTCCGTGGTTTTAGCTTGTTCCTTCCCCCCGTGCCACGATTAACTCCTCGCTCCTGTGGCCGGCTCACCTCTCGTAAACATCGGCCACCTGATACAGGCGGCTTTGCCAAAGCCAGGGGAGCAGAATGTTGGAAACGTGAGCTTCTAAGGCTCTGGAAACGTATATTTAAGCTCCTTAAACAGAGCTGGCCCGACGTTACCTCCCGGGTGCATTGAGCACCTGCAGTTCGTAGCCTGAGAGCTGTTTTGATCTTGGTCAGGTCAGTTCTAACAAGGCCCCGAAACTCTTCTCCACTGAGAGCATCTGTGCCTGCTTGCGATAGACCTGGAAAGTCTCTAGAGAAGTAGTGCTTTTTGGAACCTAGCTTAGAGCTTTTATTTTATTTTTTTCACACACGGGTCCAAGGGAACAGTTGGTTTGTGTGCAAGCACGAGCCATAGCTGGTCTCCTCAGTTCTTGGTAAAACCATGAGTGGGGTTTCTGTATCCTCTTCGTTTTCTGTCTTTTCCTAACCCTGGCGTGGGGTTGCAGCCTTGGCTCATCCTGGTTTTATCCCCTTCTCCTACCACGCTGCACTGAAGGAATGGCCGAGGTGGTGAAGAGGCTGCTCGTGGTGGGATGTGGTAATGATGGGTGCTCTTTGCTTCTGAAAAAGGTCGCTTTTAGTTTGCAGAAGACCCCTTGGCCCATCAAGGTGTGGCTTGAGAAGGTCTCTAGGCTGATCTCTGAGAAGGTGGTCAGGGTGTCACTGCCCCGGGAGCGGAGGTTCTCGGTGAAATTTGCTGCTCGCTCTCCCAGGTGTCGTTCGTCTCGGTCTGTGGTGGCCGCTCGGTAGGAGCTGCTGCTGTGCTTCAGGTTGGAGGCCTCGTGGATCAAAATCTTCCTGCCCCTGGCAGTGTTTGAGACTGATTTTCTTCTGCCCGTTGAGCTCAGCAGAAGCAGAGGCCGGTTTTGGTCGCAGACCGTGTTGTGCTGGCGCCAGGCCCCCTGGGAGAGGAGGGTGATGGGTCTCGGGCTGGTTTCGGCTCTGGTCTTCTGAGCGACTGCTGAATCGCTCTCTTCTGCAGCTGTAACCCTCAGGGCACAACAGGGCAGCCGTGTCACCTTGACATCTGGGTGGTTCTGCAATCAGGCCCTGCTCTCCGGGCTCTCCGTTAGCGGCGCAGGACAGGGAGCTTCTCCGCAGCCCTTCTGAGTGTTTTTGAAGGCTTGAGCCCGTGTGGCCGTTCTGTTTTCCCAGGCGGGCTGGGGAAGGAGTTGGTGGTGCTGCCTTGTCCTCCTGCAAACAAGCCTGGAGGCACTAACTGGACTCTGTAGCCAGGTCTTTACTGCTGAGCCCGTGTGCAGGAAAGGCAGTGCTGCCGTGGAATGATGCAGGGACCCCGCTCGCGTCCCTGGAGCGCTGGCGCTGGGAGTTGAGGTACTGCAGTGGGTTTGAATGCCAGTCTGTTAAATGCTATTACTGAAATATTTATTGTGTTTAAACTAAATGGACAAAAGTTCAGTAAAGAATAAAATTTTCAAGCCTTTTAATGGTGTTTGTCTTTGGTTTTGGCTTTGTGTTTGGGTTTTTTTCTTTCTTTTTCTTTCTGCTGAGCAGGCGGTGGAGCACAAGGGGCTGAGTTTGGGCAGCGGTGCCTGGGCAGGAGCTCCAGCCCCACTTGGGACAACTCTCGCTCACCGTGGCAGAGATGGAGAAGCTCCTCCCTCGAGCGATAGCTTTTATTTATGAGGCCGTGAGGTGACAGGACAGGGGTTTAGCAGGGTAGATTTAGGTTAGACGTTAGGAAGTTCTTTAGCGTGAGGGTGATGAGACACGGGGACAGGTTGCCAGGAGAAGTTGTGGATGTCTCATCCCTGGAAGTGTCCAAGGTTGGACGGGGCTTGGAGCAACCTGGTCTGGTGAGGGGTGTCCCTGCCCGTGGCAGGGGGTTGGGAACTAGGTGAGCTTTGAGGTCCCTTCCAACAGGGCGGTCAAGGCCCCTCCGACACTGAGCCATTCCCCTGCCGGGACGGGTGGCGTGTGGAGGTGCGAGCTGGCTGCGGCGTGGGGGAGGACCTGGCGAAGAGCAGGTGGCGTTGCCCTGAGCTGTGCCTGCCCGGTGGGTTAACGAACCCTGGGAG